ATGAGAAGAATATAGCATGTATATCTTCAATAATTGGAAAACCACTTATGTTGGACGGTAATATGTTTCATTGGGGAAGAAGAGAGTTTGCTAGAGTATGTATAAGAATAAGGCTTGATCAACCTCTTCCATTAGGTGTTTGGGTGGATAGCATGGCTGGAAGGTTCTTCCAAGTAGTGGAGTATGAGAAGGTATCAAACTTTTGCTTTGGTTGTGGGAAGATTGGACATATGGAGAATGAATGTGTGCTAAAAGAAAATAACCAGAAGGTTATGAAAGTTGCTGATGATAGTAATAGAAGAAATGATATGGGAAGAACTCAAGAGGTTTTTAAAGAACCTACTTATGGTCCATGGATTATGGTCATTAACAAGAAGAGGAGAAATTTTAAACAGAGCAACAAGATGAATAAATCAAACACTGCCATATATGTTAAGAAATCTGTTACTCCAGTAAGAGTTGAATAGGAAGCTCAAATTGTTATGGAAGATGGCTTTGGTAAAAGCTCTAGACAGGAGATCCCAAGGATTCCAGGTGATGTGGCTAATCAACTAGAAGAGGGAGATGTTAATTTGGAAGGAGATAAAACTGATAAAGTGGAATAAGATATTGTTCTAGTGGAACAAATAAAACCAGATAACATTAGTAATATCTTATCTGGTCAGGTTCTCTTTCAGAGTAATTCAATTGTCAATAATGCGAAGGGTTGCTTGCGACTCAGGTAAGTCCTAATGGATTACTTGCCAACTCAAGTATTCCCTATCAAAAAAGTGATTTCAAAGTTCAGAAGATTTCAGGTAAAAATGAAGTGGAAGAGTTGGGTCAAAATGTCTTGATCAGCAAATCTGTCGATTGGGCAGCAGAAAGTATTTCGATGGTGGAGCCTCCTATATTTAAAAGATTTTGTAAAAGAATGGGATGTCTTCTTTGTTGGGGTGATTGAAACCAAAATCTATTTATTTGAGAGATATGAAGTGAATAAATTGTTGGGTGATGATTAGGATTATTTTCTTTATCCCTCAGTTGGTGCTTCTGGAGGTATTATGGTATTATGGAAAGTTAATATTACAAAATTTTCCGTAATAGAGGCTTCACCTCAATGTGTGATTGGAGAAATAAGTCTTTTCATAAAAGTAAGTGGTTGGTTTCTACTATATATGGAAACAAAAATCCACATTTGAGAAGAAACTTGTGGGAAGTATTAGAAGAAAAAAGTAATAAGAATATCCCTATGGTGGTGGGAGGGGATTTCAATTGTATACTTTCACAAGAAGAGAAGAGAGGTGGAAAGAAGTTCTCTTTTTCTCAAGGCCCGCAACAAATGTCTACATTTATGACAAGAAATGACCTACATGATGTGGGAATAGTGGGTCCGAAATTTACCTGGTGCAACAACAAAGGTGGAAATGCTTGTATACTTGAAAGGCTGGATAGGTGTCTTTTGAAATCCAAGTCGTTAAATGAAATTCAGAATGCAGTGGTAAGACATTTGGCAAGGATTGCTTTCGATCATTGTCCATTAATTCTAAGATTTGTAAATGAGAAGTTGTACCAAAACAAAATGCTTAGATATGAAGAAGTTTGGGCATCTTTCCAGCTGCTAAAGCGATTGTTTTAAAAGCATGGAACAAACCAGTTAAAGGGAATGCCATGAAAATTGTTAATGTAAAGTGTAAGAGGACTTTAAAAGCACTTCATTTCTGGAGTAAGGAAAAATTAAAAAACTTTAAAGATAGAAATATTCTTTTAAAGAGTGAGATTGGTGGTCTACAGTTAGAAGAAGCCAATGGAAATGGTTTAGAAGAAGAAAAACAGGTTATTCTTAGAGCAAAAATACACGAATTCAATGTGAACTCAACTCGGTTAAGCACATGGTGGAGACAAAGATCAAAGATGAAATGGATTCAGGAAAATGATACAAATTCAAAATTTTTCCATTCTTTTGCAAATGGTAGAAGAATGGGAAATTTTGTTCATCAATTGAAGAATGAAGAAGGTAATTTAGTAGAAGACCATGCAAAAATTGAAGACATCATATTGAAGTTCTTTAACAACAAATGGAGAAACATATATGGTAATTTGAATGGATGGCCTCCGTTTTTGAAATCTTTATCTGTTGCTGATTGTAAAATTTTAGAATAAGAGTTCTCTTATTCTAAACTTGCAGCAATTATCAAAGATAGTGGAACCAATATTTCACCTAGATTAGATGGTACAACTTACTCTTTCTTCAAAAATTATTGGTATATAACTGGGAATGATGTATGGAGACTAGTACAGTATTTTTTCATTACAGGACAGCTTTGTTCAAGCTAGAAGAAGGCGCTAGTTATTCTCATTCCAAAGTTGCTGAATCCAAATTCTCCCTCAGGTTTTCGACCTATTAGCATGTGTGGCACTTTATATAAGATTATAGCCAAAATGATCTTAAATAGACTTATGAAGGTGATTGGTGGTCTTATTTTGGAGGAGCAAACGACATTTCTAAAAGGTAGATCACTGTCAAATCACATTCTTTTAGCTCAGGAATTGTTTAATAAGCTAAAAATTTCTAAATCAAAAGAAGGATGGGTGGCGATTAAGCTGCTTGATATGGAACAAGCTTATGATAGTATGGCTTGGGATACCTTTAGATTGATCTTGAAGGAAATGGGATTTCCAATCAGATTTTCAAATCTAATTATGGAATGTGTAGAATTTCCTGAATTCTTTTTTAAGATAAATGGAAAGATCTCGAAAGGGATTAAAACATATAGTGGATTCAGACAAGGTTGTCCACTTTCTCCCTATTTGTTTATCCTTTGCTCTCAACTATTAACCAATGATATATGGTATAGTGGAAGGAGCTTGGGTATCAAAATCTCGACAAATGCACCTAGAGTGTCACATCTTTTATATGCAGATGATATCTTGTTGTTCTCCCAAGCTAATATGAGAAGTATGAGGAGATCTAAGAAAATTATCTCAGATTTTTGCAACAGATCTGGGCAGAGCATTAATAATAAAAAATCTGTAATAATTTTCGAGAATTTAGTTAAAAAGAGGAGGAAAAAATCTATAACAAAACTATGGGGATTCAAAACTGTGCAGTTTTTTATCTGGGCATCAAATTGGCTTTGAGGAAATTGCTAGCTTCAGATTTTAATTATATACTTGAAAAGGTGAATTCCAAACTAATTGTTTGGGGCAAACAGATGATATCTTTGGCTAGAAGAATTATACTTACTAAATCAGTCCTAGCGGCATTACCAGTTTTTGTGGCTACCCACACATTAATTCCAATGAGTATTCTTAAAGAAATTGAGAAAGCCGCTAGGAATTTTATTTGGGATAGACAAGGAGGTCTTCATGGACTACATTATTTGTCATGGGAAAAAATGTGCAAAACCTGGAAGGAAGGATGTCAAGGCTTAAGGTAGGTGAGTTCTATGACTGGTCCTCTTAGAGCAAAATTTGCTTGGAATTTCTTAAAAGAAGAAGACTCTTTGCTCAATAAAGCTTTGATGGCAAGATATGATACTAAATTTTGGGAACAAGCTAATAGAGTAAATAAATCCTCTACCTGGAAGATATTGGCTGATGGTGCTCTTGCTCTAAGGCCTATCACGAAGTGGAAAATTGCTTCAGGTAAGTCAATAAACATTCTTAAAGATGTATGAATTCTAGATATGTGTCTAGAGAAATGGCCTACATTTGTGGCCGTAGAGAATTTTGAATTTCCATCGTTGGAAAGCTTTATTTCAGATGGATGTTGAAAGAATGATCTTCTTAATAAATTCTTTGGGAAAGATCTTGTGAAGATTATTATTCAAATTGAAAATTTTCCATATCAATCCAAGGATAGCATTGAGCTGAAGAAAAGGTTCTCGGGCAAAAGCATTGCTGCTTTGGCCTCTTCTTATAATAATGAAGATTACGGAACTGTTCATTATGGAATCTGGCTAAATAAATTAAAGCTCAATCCTAGAATTTAATGTTTTTGGTGGCGGCTTCTCAATGAGGCAATCCCAACAAATGGATTTCTGATGAATCGAAGATTACTGGGACACAATTTATGTCCTAGAGGATGTATTGAATAAGAAAATACTGATCATGTCATGGTGCATTGTTCAAAACTACAGTAAACTATATGCATTCTCAGGAAATGGGGTTTCATGTGTCCATTTTTCTCCTCTGCCAATGATTGTAAGTATCATTTGAAAAGGTTATCAGTTGAAAATAAATCAATGGCAAATTTATACTGTTATCTAGTTTATTTCTCATGGAAGAGTAGAAATTTAATCAAGCATGGGAAAAAAGAATTGAGTTTGAACTACATTGCCTGCAATGCTATTAGTTATGCATCAATTTCTTATTCTAATCTTTTCATGGATCACTGGGATGCTAACCAGCCAACACGGCTGATTTCTCATTGGCACCGCCTCCCCCAGAATGGATTAAGGTTAATCTTGATGCAGCTTTAACTAGTAACAATAATGGAGGTATAGGTGGAATTTTTAGAGATTCTAAAGGCAGATTTTTACTTCCTTTTGGACTCAATTGCACTCATTGGGATAATGGAGCATTGGAACTAATGGCCATCTGTTCATTGAAGAATTTCATCTTTATTGGATGCTGGATGCAAAGGGACTGATTATAGAAGGAGATAATATCAACATCATCAAACTTCTACAAAAATCTTTGAATATAGAACCTCGGTTTGTACATGAAGAGGAGCTTGAAGACCTCTTTTTTGGATGGATTCGGTAACATTCTTTTTCATTTTGTTAATAGAGATTGTAATAAATTAGCCCACATTTGTGCTAACTTTGCATTACTTGAAGATTTTCTTTGGGAAGATCTTAGTAGCAATAAGGTTCCTTCTTCTTTGTTTAATATTCTAAAAGAGGAATGTGATAGACTCTCTATCCCATAGTAGCTTGTATTTGGTTTACTTTTTTCTTTTAATGCAATTTAGCATTTCTTAAAAAAAAAAAAAAAAAAAACATTTAGAAAGTTTTCTTTAGTATTCCCGCATCCGTTCGAGCGCGCATACTAGTGTAAAAATCGGCCCCCGGAATATTTTGGAATCCGGAGAAGCGACTGTGTTTTTGATCTCCACGTCTGGTCTGATAGATTGCTAATTTAGGGTTTACAGAGTAGACTCCAGAGATAGGTTGGAGACAGTATTTTTCTGATTGTTAATGGACTGCTACGGTCAGTTTAAGGTAAGTCCTCTCGTTGACGCACTGCCGGTGGCGACGAGGGGCAGAAGCGCCTCTCTTTTTGCTCGCACGAGCTGCTCCCAAAAGCTCGGTCTTCCACCTCCTTTATATTCCCAGGTTGGTGAGATCTATCCGGATCTTTTTGTTCACCATCTTCCGCTCTTCATCCACATGCTTGGGCTATGAAATCGTTGTACGCAAATTGCATGTCCTTGTTATTCCTGGGTACTTGCCCATCATTGCTTTACGTATCTCGTTTTTACGTTCAAAATTTCTCCAGGGATTTGCAGTTTTTGAAATTAAGGGGATTAGTTTCAATTTATAGTGGGAGCTTATTAGACAATTGGATTGAAATTGTCGATCTATATGTTTTATTACGTTATGATTTTGGCCTTATGCATTCAAATCTCTTAAGCTGAAATTGCTTTAATTTCTTTGATTATGTGCTGTCCTAAAAGAAGCGTTGCACTATTGTTCAACTTTATTTCATGCTTTTACATATCTAAAATCCAAAATATTAATATTACATGTCTACCATCCATATACAACTTTAATCAAATATACCACTCCTATCTTTCATTCATATCGCTCATACCATCCTATGAAGTTTAATATTTCATTTCATGCACCCATATTTGTTCTATGGGTGGTAGACATGCAATATTAATGTTTTATGTGTTAGATATATAAATAACATGAAATAAAGTGATATGTATGTAAATCCCCCATATATACACATTGAAAAGATAACAAAGTGGGTAAGCTTACGAATTTGAATGTTTTACTTTAATGATGTTAATCAAAACCGTAAATAATTATTGAGTACTTTCAACTCATTATTCTAGCCTTCCAAAAATCAAGTGAACACTAGGCCTCAATCGGTGGCAACTCATTCATGTATTCATCCTTTGTGATGGCCCTCCCTCCTCCTTGATAGCTTTTCGACATTGGCATCAACTACCCTCTTGATTCTAGCCTCCTTTATTGCAGCACTCTTTGAGTCATCTCCTCCATATGTTGATTTGATGTCGTTAATGAATCTTACTGCATCTCATCTCCAGCTATCATTTTCTCCACTTGAGGTAGTTGCTGGGATAGCTTGACTCCAACATCCGATTCCTTAAGCGATTTTCACAAATGAGCTTTCTAATAATTGCGGTGAAGTTGACAATACGACGAGTGTTCTTTACTTTCTCTTTAGTGCCTCTCAGAGTATTGGCATATTTGTTGCCTCTTATAAGTCATTTGCATAGTTTGTTTAAGGTCAACATTTGAACAACACTAAGCCATGTTCTAATCGACCCTTGCCATAATTGATTTTATGTTTCTCACCGTAATTTTAAAGCATTTTTCATCTTATTTTTAAGATAAGCTTGCTCTCATCGTTTCTTAAGATCCTATCAATTAGCTTCCTAAACCTCTATTTTTTTTTAGTTGGAAAGTTCATTTATGGCTGCCTTAATCCTTAAATTATCAGAAGTTTTTTAGAGAATTGTAATCTAAGTTGTGATATTTTTAATTCGCTACTTAATTTGATGAATGTTCTCATCACAGTTGCTTGTAGAAGATTACGTTGTATTGTTCACATGTAGATTCATCCTTATTGCGAACTTCCCCGCAAGGATATTGAAATGATCATCATAGTTTGACCTAACCAATGAAACTCTTATTATCTCATTCTGGACAGCATTCCACCATGTAAGAATGCATTTTTTTAACAAATTAATCTTATTTTATTTGGAATTGATTCTTTGTAACCCATTGCATCCGGATGTTCCAAGGTTTTCCGAATCTTATGTCTTTATGGGTTAAGTGTTAGCTGAAATTTATGTATCTAAGTGTTTGAAGAGAAAATGTTGATTGGAGCTAGGAAAATTTGCTACCGGCAGAAGCCTGTCTTTGAGATGATTCCATTGTAATATTCTATTATAATCATTATTAGCTTCTTGGCTTCAACATTTCTTATAGGAAATTTGCTTGTGTTTTAGATGTTATGGTATATTTGAATGTTGAAGTTCTAGTTGATGTCAATTAGAAGTAGCCATCTTTCTCTTCTCATTAGGAGAATGTCTTAATGATTCAAGTTGCTGTAAACAATGAGGCTTCTATGAATTATTCTCTTATAGATCATATGCCCTTTCCTCATATTATTGATTCAATAGATTATGATTGTTGTTTTTTCATCGGATAATTCTCCTAATGATATAGACAATAATTTGAATACTTCTTAGGTCATGTCATATTAGCATGGATCCAAGTTTAGTTTCTAAAATTTCTTAGATCTATCTAATGATGACGAGTCTCATTAGATTGAGGATTGCCTTACACTTTCTTCCCTTATGTAGCACATAACTAGTAAAAGAATATAACATTACCATTGTTTAAAATTGCACAATTGGAGGCACGCCTCAGCACAATTGTCGCCTGGAACAAGTCGAGGCGGATGCCTCTATTAGCCTTTGTGACGTGCATGCCTATAATTTCCTGAGGCGCGTTGCCTCATTTCTGTGAGGTGCTTGCCTCAAAATGACGAGTAAAAAAAATTAAGACCTAAACCTAAGCTTTAAACTTGGGGTTCATCCCGTCGTGTTGTTCGACTTTGTTTGCTGCGCATAAGGTAGTTTTGAATGATTTGTTATAAGATATTTTGCCTTATTCGATGCGTTCCCTATTGGATCGGAAGTCAGGTATGGTTCAATGATGCTCTTCTTGATGGATCAAATGTGAGGACAATTCGATATCGTTCTTCCTGTTGGATTGGAAGTAATGATGGGACCTTTTCTCACTACAATAGTAGCCATCTTTCTTCCCTTTCACGTGCTCCTTTGCCTCCAAATCGTTGTTTGTTGTTCAACTTCAATGCCGCTGCATTAAAGGTAAGTGGGTTTTTTTCCTCTTACTTAATTATATTAAAAGTAATTTGATATATTTTTGAATGTTTGGGTTCGATTCCAGATTACTATTTGGCACATTTTCTTTGGTTATAAATTTTGGGATTTTATTTGGTGATAGAAGGTAGGATGGATAATCAAGTGTTGTTTTTCAGTCGAGATAATCTATCATTTTTAACAATTTGATTGCAATTTCATAGAAGCTATTCATCCAGAGCAGCTCAATTGAATAGGATTTTGTTGTTGGAAAATTAAATTTAATGATTACATAGTACTAAGACTTCATATAACAAATTATTTGCACAATTAGATATTTAAGTTGACTTTATTTATGATAGATTAATAATTCTTGTTCTTTCTTTGTATACAAATATATTTTCTTAAAGAAAAAAACGAAAATTACATCGAAAACCAAAAAAAAAAAAAAATACAAAATGTTGAATGTTTCTACACAAAGCTGATGAGTTGCTTCATGTATCTTCTATTGAATGTTCCAATTGAACAATCACATCTCCCCTTGTTCATTGCTTTTGTGATGATTAACTTGAATTATTCATTGCTCTGGTGATGATCGCCAATGCATGCATGCATTAATTGTTAATGAGTTCAATGCTTCATGTTCTTAACTTATTATTGCAGGGTTTTGTAGAGGATGGTCTGAAACAAAGATAAAACCATATCGAGTTATAGAAAAGATCCTGCGTGAAAACATGGCAATCAAGTTGACGTGGGAGATAGCGACAAGTCATATGTATACTGAAATATAACTACTATGAGAAAGTGGTGGGTGTGACTAGGATGAAGGAGCACTAATCCAGATCAAACTAGAATGTCGCAGTATGTGCTCAAGTGCTTGATACAATAATAGAGGAGATCAAAATATGTATGAATAAGTCAATAATACCTAAGCACCTTGCATAGAGACAGTTTTAGGAGAAAGTTTATGTGGGCTCCTACTATGGGAGTGAGCATAGCGGTCGAGATTCATCTTCTTCATTGCAATTCATGTACTCGAGGGGTGCAAGAGGTCCCATGGATCAGTATATGGCGAATTCCTTAGAGGATAAATAGGAAGACAAGCCTTTTATTGCACAAACGCTGACCCTAAAGAATATTAGATAGGCATGAATATGTGAATCTATGGATATAGACCAACTTTGTTAATGAGAATGTTATCCCATTTAATGTTGCAACCTTCCCTTCTTATTACAATATGACCTGTTCAATTGGAGCGTATGGGAGAGGGTTGAAACTTTCATTCATGTATGACTTAATGACTTGAATTTTGAAGGTGTTGGGTAATACTGAGATAAATTTTGAGGAAATTAAGAGGACTTGGCCCCAACAGATGTTATAATCATGTCTGATGGATGATCATATGCGAAGGGTAGAAGTTTGATAAACATACATATCAATAACTCTTATGACACTGTTTTTTATGTCAATTGAGGCATTTGATCAGGTGAAAGATGCTGAATATTTTTTTGGATTACTTGATAGAATCGTTGAGGAGGTTGGAGACTACTTAGTTGTTCAATTAGTAACATATAATGCTAGTGGTATAGGGCTTTAGGAAGAAATCTTATGGAGAAAAGGAAACATTTTTATTGGACTCCATGTGTAGGAAATTGCATAGATTTCATTCTTGAGAAGTTTGGGGAGCTACCATAGCATAAGAATGTACTAACAAAAGCTAAGAGGATAAGTACCATTTTTTATAATTATTCTTGTATTTTGACACTTATGAGAATATTTTCAAAGAAAGAAATAATTAGTTTTGCAACAATCAGATTTTCCACCGTATATTTGACTTTGCAGAATATGTTGGAGACTTTGCAACCTTTGGAGTTTATGTTCATCTCTACACTGTGGTTGTGTTATGCTTGGGAAAGAAAAGTTGAGGGGATAGAGCTATGGAAGATTGTTTTTAAGTGACATATTTTGGTACAGTGTTATGTATGCTATCACAACCACTAGGTCACTAGTGTAGGTTCTGAGGACGGTGGATGCTGAGAAAACACTGCTATGATCTTTATATACAATGTTATGAATAAAATAAAAGAAATGTTTGTCTACAACTTATGAGAGGAAGAGTACAGCTACAAAGAAACTTGGAATATCTTTGATGACCGGTGAGAGCTATAACTTCATTGGCACATACATGCAACAGACTATTATGTGAACCTTTAATATGAATAGACTTAAAATAAGTCAAAATCCTGAGAT